TCAATTTTAGAGTAGCAGAAACCTGTTACGTTTTTTTTTACACAATACATTATGTTTCTTGTCCTATAGACCTGTATTTATGTCGCTTAAAGTTGGAATAAAGCCGAGGCGCAGTAACAACATCAGCATATCTTGATGGCCTAATGAACGTTCACTTCTTTCGGTTGTGGGATCGCACAACGTTAACGTGACTAAATGGTTAGATTTTCATTTCATAACTGAAAAAGGGTTGACATATATAAATATCTGTTAAAAGTTGTGCATTTTCAGGTTAGTATATTATTTTAAAGTTTGTATAACCATTTTATCAAAACTGTTAAAAAAAATCAAAATTAGAAATAGCATCGACAAAGTCATATCTTTATCGTTCGGTGAGTGAAAACAATGTCTTGGCGCATGCAAATAAGAAATCATAACAAAACGGCGGGTTAAAACGAGGTTCCGAAAGGTCATATGATGGTATCGGTAACAAGCATTCAGCAAATACTTACTGTAGATAGTATATATATACAGTATGTATTGCTAAGGTTTCATTTCTATTCTGTTATGGACTGAAGGAAATCGTTTAACATTGATGGTGCTCTAATTGCGCTGCCACACACTACATGAAGCACGTCCCAGAAATGACTTGGATAAGCTTTGAAAGCTACAACGTGCCATTTCGTACAACATTTTTGCTTGCGTAGTGATGAGGACTTACTTTTTTCCACATTGCCAAGAAATAAATAATATACAATAGTATTTTAAAATGTTTTAGAAGCAACAAATAAAAAAACATATTAAGTTAAAAAAAAACAGTAACTTGTGTGTTTAGTGTACCTGAACAACGGGGCGCATTTGTCGTTCTCGTGAAATCGATCATGATGGACTTCGAACAGATAAGTCCTTTGCCAATAAACAAATACGTCACTTTGGGATCCGTTACCTGTGTATAATGGCCGAGGGTGGATACGATGAGGATGAAATACGTTCAGATGATATGTTGAGTGATGCATATGTATCCAGGTATATTATGTAACCAAAATTCCGGTAATACTTTATTATCATCTATTGTTTTCTTATATTACCGTTTGCATTATGTCTAGTATGCTGACGAATTCCGATATAAAAGTTTCTGGGTGAAGTAGATCAATGCGAAACAAGTTATTCCAAGTGTTAACTCAAATTGAAGCAAGCGGGGGCCTTACTGGGGTCCGGCAAATAACTCATACCGTTTCACGTCCGTTCGGGGATCGGGAATCGAACCCGTGACGTCTAGATGAAAGTTGAGTGCGTTAACACGGCGTTGTCCGACCACCGAATAAGATCAAGTTGTCTGGCTTGTTGGTTTCTCAGTAAATAGATCTATGTTTGTTGGTATCTGTTTCAAAAGCCATACAACGAAGACGTTTTGTCCGTAGCCAACAAGAATCTGATAAAACGTTGCAATTCTAATTAGTAACTATGTTCATACTGGATTTTCACTATACACTGCTTTCATTAGTAAGTGTTTTTAGAACACTCGATAGCCGTAACCTTAGATTGGGTGAAAGGGTGAAATTACCATGTTAACCCCCACCCCACCCACACATGCACACACGCACACATCCCCCCCCCCTCCCCCCCCCCCCCCCCCCCCCCCCATTTTTTTGTATTTCCTCCGCGGTATGACTTAGATGCTTTGTTCTATTATCTTTATTTGTAGTTTCTGAAAAAAGTACACCACTCAAGATCAATACTCTCAAACGATCTCTATATACCACTATCAACGACCATCCAGTTAACCAGTAAACTCTCCAAGTCACAAATCGACGAGTTGACAACTTAAATTCTTATGATGTATGATGTTCGTATCTGATCATGTTAATATAATGATATAATATCATTGTTTGTTAATTTGCAAAAAATGGAATCACACTGACGAAAGTGTAGCGAAATTTGAATACATTTTTTTAAAATATGTGAAGCAGTAAAGTAAATGTTCATACCTGCAAAGTTCTGTGATTGTCAAAACTACGTACGCTTTTCTGATCTTTATTGACACGTTTACATACGCATATGACACGATGCATATATACTGAAGTACAAACGTAAGTAGACATTAAAGCTGAGGATAGCGCATTTCCAAAAAATATTACTAATTACTTGTAGTACGCAGTTGTCATCGCTGGGAAATTCCTTGTATTCACTAAACACATTCAATAATACAATGACGTTGTTAAAAATAATTCTGAACATTTTATTTCTTTTCTTTTGTAAAAGAAAATTGTAATAATATTTTTTCCTGTATATACTTACGTGTATACATTTGCATTTCAGTATATTTCTCTATATTTTCCATATCCTCGGCAGTAGAAAATTATGAAATTATTTGCATGCTTTTTCTATGAACTAAGTCAATGTTTGCATTGGTCTTGTTTACTGGTTTTCTTAGAAGTAACTCTCCGATACTATTGAAATAACTTATTACATTACGTACTAAATGTACCCGGCCCCACTTGTATAAAACATCTCAACTTGAGATTTCCTCAAGTCGAGATTTTCCTCAGCCGATATCACCTCAAAAACGGCTTGTATAGAATTTTCTCAAGGAACAGGAGGAAGTCATCGGCTAGTATGTCCTGAAATTCCTTGAGGAATTTTCATACAAGATATTTTCAAGGAGATATCAGCTGAGAAAAATCTCGACTTGAGGAAATCTCAAGTTGAGATGTTTTATACAAGTGGGGCCCGGAGTGTTCGGTGGGAATGAGAAGTGATATTACTGAAGGAGGGGAAGTAAGTCTTACTTGTCGATAATCTCCAATCGGCAGACAAAAATCAGGATAAAGTACTTTATCCACATTAAGTTTAGTAAATGTACCATGGTCTTTGGTTACACTATGCATATAAGAAAAAATGACGTTTAAACGGTCTAAATATTGACTTGTGAGATAAAGCATGTTTCTGTCCTCGACTAGAAAACATTGACAAGGTCACTGGAAACCTAAAACTTGCTACATCCCTTAAGCCCAATGTATTGTACATAGTATACCAAATACGGACGTACAGACAGATAAAATTGTGTTGATATAAATAGCTGAAATATGAAATACTTGTTCAATTAATTTTCTGTGGTGTGTCTTAGGTACGGCAACCCCAGTTTTACCGTCTTAGATTCAGTGTTCTAGCAATATAACGCTAGAGCATGGAAATCTAGCACGATAACGACGTGTCGCATTTATTTGCATGCTTGTAAATACTGTGGTTTATAAAAGGTAAAGATGATATACAGCGATACAATATCTCTGCCATCAATAGCAATTGTAAAACATATAAGTTATTTAATATAATTAACAATTGTTCAACTTAAAATGGTTCCCTGATTGCTTACAATAACATCATGGTAAAACGCCCCGGTACAACCTCGAAATTGTTCAATCAGATTTATTTTGTTCGAGTTTTAATACTTTTTCAAAAATATTATATCAGTTTGATTTTTTATATTAAATGTAAGCTCCAAGTGAATTTAATATTGTAGTAACCACTCATATAAAACTATAACAAAATACTAACGTGTAAATATAATTATAATCCAAATTCAAATTCAATACAACTAGGAAAAATATGAACAGAAGAACAGGAAAATTACATGGAGAACCATGAAAAAGTACAAAGCGATTAAGACCATGTGTTTCAGAAGGGTGCGTGGGTGCTGTTTCATGATGACACAAGTCATATCAATCTTGGTCAATCTAAGTATGTAATATCACGTTCTCAAATGAGTACAAATAATCAAGAACGAAACCATAAGGAATATCAACAAGTGTCAAATACGTCCAGCTTCATATTGTAATAAATGGTTAGAACGACTGTTAAATTCCTCTTGTATAATTTACAGCATCAATGTAAACTCACGATAAGCTGTATGTTCAGGATATGAGTACAAAAGGGACGCGAGAAGTAGTGTTTGTATAATAAACAACAAAAGTGGAAATAAATTGGTAATATTTAATGGAATTTTAACAAGAACACATAAAATGTAACAATAAAATCTAAATAAAGTAAAACATTAATTAAACCTAAAAATAAAATTGCGTATGATAAATACAGATAAATCTAAATATATTTAACAAATAAATATCATAATCATGTAAATAACGATAAAAAAATTAATTTAAAAAAAAGAAAAAAAAAATCTGACTTGTGTGTGTGTTTTTTTTTTAATTCAAAATGTTTTAACATTCTTATTTAATCTTTTAATGTTTCATTTATTTAAATATGTTCAAGGATGGAAGTACGAGAATGAAAATGTTTATCTATTCACAGGAATGATATGACTTCATTTCCTTCGCAAAGTTAATGTAAATTCCAGTCTCCATTCATTGAGTTTTAGGATCTTAAATATGGTATTGAAATTTCCTTTCCGTCGTTTCCAAAAGTTACCATCGTTTTCTCACATGCACATATTTCCTTCATTAAAAACCTTTCAACCGTTTTATGTGGATTATAGAATACGTCCTTTATTTTCGTCCTTTCCTTTCAGGACGACCATTATTTCGAGTAAAGTATCTGCTGACTAAGGATACATATTGTCAAACTCCTCATAAGCAACTGAGTTAGACTGACTTACGATGAACTGAAGTTCGTAAACTGACTTACATCTGTCAAAAATTAAGTCAGTCCAAAGTTTGTACGACTAGGTACTTTGATATGAACCTGTTCTGATTCCATACACGAGCGAATTTCAACCCATTACTTAGGTCTTGTTTGCTCAATAGACAGATCAGTTTGTGGCGAGGTAAGCATATGGAAGTTTGCATGAGACATCGTATGCTAACCTGAGCGATTCGGGTAAATGTTGTTTTCCATATGGGACACAACAACCATGCAAAGGACAGCGATTTTGTGGTACCTAATCAAGGAGGGGTTACAAAGAATGTGAATTCAAAGTAAACTTAACACACGCTATTTCCTTTTAAATGAAACTTCACCTTGAAAGATATGTTACACTTGATTTCCTCTTCGCGTTTATGGTTTCATTATAGATTCGCCAATTTAAACTCAAAAAATTCCTTAATTTCTTGTTGACAACCGAGACAATATTTAGGTCTCATTTGTTGACAGCAATCTTTGCAAAGACAAGAATGACAACAAGGAATAAACGTTATACATTTCTCATTATGTTGACAGTTGCGACAACGCATGCGTTTATGGCATGCTGCTGCATCCAGCATTACGTCTGTACTGGAGGGAGGACCTGCGGTAAAACAAACATACTTGGTTTTAAAAAGATCCATAGAAATCCAAGGACAATGTAACAACTCTTTACAAATTACATGCTACATTTTTTTTACCTTAGAATGTTGGCAAATTACATGTTAAAAAAGTAATTTACCTTAGAATGTTGTCAAATTAAATGCTACAAGGTTATTTATCTTAAAATGTTGATAAATTGCTTGCAACAAAGTTATGTTAAAACAGATGGCGACATAGCTAACGTTAGCTGAGTATGAGTTATAATTGCTGGATTTTGCATCCTATCTTGATCTACGAACTTAAACCATATCCCATGAGTTGTATCAAATACTTGTTGTATTGATATTATTTCTAATTTATATAAATAATGAAATAATCAAATCAGTTAAATACTCACATATTTCAGCATTTGCATTTTCGATAGCGCCGTCAAGACTCTGAAATGTTAAATATGAATAGATTATATATTTTCAGACGTAAGGCGGTTAAAATTTTTAAGTAGATTATCATGTCAGTATGTTTGCTAGGCAAAAAAAATCATATAAAAGTGGACTTATAATTCTCCAAGAAAAATCATCACCAGTACTATATAATTAATGTCTTGTAACTTTTTGTTACTAATTAGGTCAGGATATGTTGTCGTGTTTACTGTTTGCAGCACTATCGACATTGTATACATGTGTTGCTTCTATCTATCAATGTTTTATTTGTTTTCACAAATTTACCTTATTTAAATGCCTTAGTATTGAAGAGGTTATCTTCACGATGTACCAATTTTTGAAATCATTCCAGTTCCCTATTTAAAGTAATAGGATTATTGATCTTTTTGTATACTGTATACTTTCGAAAAAGGCAAGCATTAGTTTTGATTTATTACTTAAAAAACATTATGCAATTCAGCAAATATTTTTTTACGCCTACAATCCTAGAGTAACTTATCATTGCAACTGTATCCGAAAAACGACCAATGCGATAGAAAGGACATGGCTTATGTAAAGTTTTACGAAATAAAATAGTATATTGCTTTTTTTAACTGTACAACAAAAAATATGAACTATTTATATTCAAAATTATCTGTTGAGTTGATTTTCATGCTGTGCTCCTCTCAGTAATGTATTTTGAGTTTAATGTTCTGTTAGAGGAATGCGTGTGATTACCTATAAATATATGTCTTTATCTTATCATGCACGGATGCATCTATAACTAAGAAGAATCGAAAATGTTGTTACAATATTCATAGAACCATCAACCAGGTATTACATTGCCTAGTGTAACATGCTCATTTGTGACAAAACTAGGTTTCAGCCTTTGTTTTGGCTGATGGCCCAATGTCATGGTATCACTCTTAATTTCGATCCAATGATTTGTCAGTTTTACCAACAATTAAGAGATATCGTATCTCATATAATGGAAACATACTCAGAGATAGCGATTACCTCCCTTCATCCAGCACTCGTTTGCTGCTTTGCCTTTTGTTTACAAAACATGTAAATGAAAAGCTGTCTTTGCATCTATGTACCATTACGATTTATCATGAAAGGATGACACCTACTAACGTTACCACAAGGAAATACCGGAACATAATTAATCGTGCACCACCATAACTCTTGTTAACACAATTGTAATTAAAATGAAATAATAGTACTTTGGCATATAAAATGTTAAGCATTATTTAACACTATCAAATATTTCTCATCTCTTCGAACCTTGTAATGTTCCTTGTTATGGAAAAAGAAAGAACACGTGGAATAGGTTAATCGCCTGTTAAGTACACTTATGTCTTATATCTCAAACAAAATGAGTACTTACCCACTCTGTTAATGTATGAACTGGTTTTCGTCTTAGAAAAGGGCACTTTGGAGATTTCTTTGCATGTTCTGTGTGCATTTCCATGTACTTTTTGTTTTCGTGATAGTTAATCTCTGCATACATGAAAATAAAAAAAAAACTATTTATAAACAGAGAGCATTATTTTACCGGTGATTTATAACATCACATATTAACATCATTTCACAAAGTTTTGTACAACTGATCATTAGTTTATATTGTTTTATGAGATGGGCATCATATTGCTTTCATGAATGTTAATGTATTCGTTTTTTTAATAATTTTGACAAAGTCCTTGTTATCAAACCCCAAAAAAGACAAACAAAAAATTATAGAGAGAAGAGCTTGAAAGGGACTTTTATATTCTATCGGAGAGCAGAGAGAACATAGATAGAGGCATGACAATAACACTTACTTTTTCCACATTGGAAACATCGAACTTTCTGTATTTCCTCTGAAATGAAACCGAAAATTTTAATTAGTTGTTATGTCAATATCATAATTGCGATACAATTAAGTGAAAGCATTTTCTTTTTCTTTTATTCTACTTGAAATAAATAAAAATAGCTATATGTAAACAGAATCTTAATTAAAACTTCTACTTGATGGAAGTTGAGAAAAAGTATGAACCAAACTTAGATTTTCTCGAGGACCCCTAAAAAGTACAATTGAAAAGTCCATGTGTTCAGCAAGAGTAAGCGTCTACTGTTTTGTTGACACCAACTATGTTAGTCTTGATCTATCCAAATAAATAATGACAAATAAGTAATAAGTAACGAGACCAAAGTAAACAACAACGGAACATTCAGGCATACTGATGAGCATTAGATACATCCACATCGCACAATGGGACTACCAATAACTTACTATCAAAGAAAAGTCCGTTCTTTGCCATAATCGTTGCTAAAGAATGGGAAATAGAAGCACTTTCCAGACTTGTAATCCGATCTCGTCCAATGAAATAATCTGGAAATGCTGTTTTGGAAGAGTTAGCTGCAATATCTCCTGAAAAGCCAAAACAATAAACATGCAATGCTTATAGTTTATTGTTATTATTGCAATCAATGTTTTTTTTTTTTTTTTTTTCACTACTTAATATTTCACGTTAATTGTTATAATGATGTAAGCAGCAGAGAGTTGGATGGTTTTTATAGCTGATATAAAAATAGATATCCTTATATGAATTGATATGGTAATAAGGTTCAAAAGTTACTCTGGATTATTCACTATGGACAATACTTACCATTTTGTTGATTGATGAAGTCTGAGATAAATAAACATCCACGAGACCTTTCTTGGTGAATTAAAGAAATGTTGTCTAGTTCCTTGAGGTCAGACACATGTAAGCAAAGCCCACATGAAAAGCAACGCACTTTGTCGTCATCGAGAGTATAGTAAAATCCTCTGTTGGCAAGTTTTGTCAGGAAAATCTTATAATATTCCTGTGGAAAGTCTTTGAAGCTGAAAAGCCTTGATAATATATTTGAAAAATCCCTGTTCGGGGAGGAAAGTCCATCCAAAAGTGGTTGACTGGCCATGTAAGCAGTCATTTCTCTATTGATGTCCAGTAACCTAAGTTAGGATGGGAAAAACAATGGATAATTGATGGACAATATTGCTTTGTCGAATGTTAAATACTTAAGTGCTCGTTCACTATCTATGAATGAAGCCAAACATCATTACAATACCGACAGGTGGATAAACTAAACCATCGGGTGTTGCTTAATTGTGTTTATATAGAATCAAATGTTCGAACATGATCTTTGTTTTTCTTTAATACGTCAGCCATATGTAAAAAACTACTGTTCGGGAGATAAGGTTACATATACGGTGTATTTATATCGAAAAAGAACATCTATAAAATATACAAGTGTATAATGCTACAATAATCATATCAACATGGACCAGCTATGTCAAGTGACAAGCACTGTTATATATGCAAACCTGTATTAGTTGTATTAGTTGTATAGAAAATAATCTTAAAAAGGCTATAAAACTTTTTACTTACGCACCTGTGTTCTGTACTTTAGGAATCAATTATATGTGCTTATACAAATGCAAATGAACTGTTCGTACAGGATAGTTTTATCACTAATTCAACGCACTTTGAGCACAGACTGTGCTGAATAGGTTATACACTGGAGATTTACATTCATTCTATTTATAACTTGTTAAATGACGGATCATATCAAGTTGAACGAACAACTATGCGGTATGCACAGTTTTTACTTCGAACTTATGTAATGGCTATAAACTCTTACCATTCACCGACATTTAGTTGAGGACAACGCATTAGTAACAAACTATGGAAGGTATCATATGGATTATCGATGAACGAAAACTCAGACGTAGACATATAGGTCTGATTCTTTGTACAATTGTGTATGTGTTGTGTACATTGCTGTCAAGTCAAATAGTATTGTATGAGGTATCAAAACAGTGCAGAAACAAAATGGTTTGTGTGTTAATTGAGAAAACAGTAAAATCAATGAGTGAGGATCAATCACACAACGATTCGTGCTGCTGGTATCTATTCAAGATACGTATATTGAAACGCCTGAAACTACAAATTATGATCAACATATCTAAGCTTTCACATAGGTTCTGTGCTGTAAGAAACAAGTGTGATAAGACCACGGATAGAAAATCAAAATCAAAACAGACAGACGAAGGAGAAATGAAAATATTCACATTTCGAAGGATAACGGAAAAATTTGCGAAAAGAAGAGGGTTTCATCATTACATTTGTTTGATTAAAGAATCAGAAATTGTGAATAGATATGTTATTCAATGGCAAAAACAAGACATTGATTTAGTGAGTGTAAATCCATTGCTGGTAAAAGACGCTACCGTAGTGGTAAGTGCCAATCCCCTGCAAGTACAGGACACGAAAAACGAACCGTTAAATGCTATTGGAGACAGCAGAGAAACACAATTGCGTACAACAATAATTCTTCCATATGCTAGTACAGATACTCCAGATAGACACACGATTGGAGAAAAAGGAATAATTCTACATTTTGGAAAGATATCCCGATTAAAACAACATATATTTCCCCAAACTGTCACAAAACCATGTCAGAAAGAAAAAATCCTTTCAGATCCAGAGAAGAAAAGACTGTATTCTCACTACACTAAAGCGTACCAAAGTGTCCAGGTTTATCCTGTTCTACAGTATTCACTTCAACAGGCGTTCGACTCATGTGCTGAAGGAAGAAATGTTATCACCAATCCGGAAGTTTTTTTCTCAAACTACCTTACTAGATTGTCATCATATAAGAATTTCTCAAGTAAACAAGCTCCAAGTGCAGTTAAACTTAGCAAGGCTGGATTTTATTCTACAGGGAATAAATACGAAACTGCATGTTTTCATTGTGGTTGTAGATACTCTGGTTGGAATGCACGTGATGATCCAATCCATATCCATGAAGAAATTTCACCTGAATGTGAATTCATACAGGAGATAGTTACAAACGAAGGTAATGACAGAATAACTGGCTTTCCTCTTGCCAATGGAACTCCGTGTTCAGAAAATACCGATACACACACTCATCAGCATCCGAAAGAAAGTTCTTTTATTGTATATGGAGATGAAAATGACGAAGACAGTAGACTGAGTGACAAAAGAACTGACATTTCCATGGCAAACTCAGCATGCGATTTTAAGCAGGAGAAAAGCTATTTTAATGACTGCAATGGTTTTAAATGTAATATGCTTGCAGAAACGAAACCAATAACTACTTCGCTTTCTTCTAAATTTCAAAGTCTCTCTTTTGACAATACACCTTCCTTTGCTTCTTTACCTGTTCATCAAAACGAAATCACTTCTTCCGAGTCTGAATCGGCAATGGCTGCCTTAAATGGCAATTCAGACTGCCAGATGAATGCGACAGAATTTGCTTCCAGTCATATAGTACCAAAGGATAGAAGAGGAAAACAAAAATATCAGGATCTACTCCATCCACTGTTTCCACAATTTATGTCGATACTCGTGAGGATCTCGTCCTTTGCCAAATGGCCAACGCATGTTTCCCAGTCAGGCAAACAAATGGCTGATGCAGGATTCTTTTATAAAGGTTTTAATTAACTACTTCTTTTTGACCACATATGTGAAATTCAATTTTAATTTGCTCTAAACAGTGATATTAAACTCTTAAATCTTCCATTTTCTCTCGAAGGGTACGGCGATGCAGTCGTCTGCTTCTGGTGCGGAGTTTGCATTTTCAGCTGGGAGGATGGAGATGATCCATGGATTGAGCATGTCAAATGGCAGCCAATATGTCCATTTACGATCCAGAACAAAGGACAAGATTTCATCGACCTTATACTTGAAGGACAGGATGGATCCCTCAGAGTAAGTATCTATTACCACCACTGTTGGATATCAAATATCATAAACATATCATATAACATAAAAAGTCCCTTTTCTCTTGTATTTTAGGAAGACAGACGTGTCGAGGATTTTAATGTCGCCGGTAAGTATTCGTTCTTACAGTAGATTGAACTTTTGATATGCATTGTAACATAAAAATCGCTTTATCAGTTGTGAATTATCTGACATGGATTATGTAATTCTGAATGTGTTGTTTCTGACGTGTAAATATACATACATGTATATCTATTGATAATTCAGGTTTGATCACGTATCATTGCTTCCGCTTGGCAAGTACCCTACATGGAGCTAGTGCAATGATCTCTGCCGACCGATTATGTGATAAACGTGGCGTTTACTGTACTGAAAACGACAACGGCTTTTTAATTTTAATTTCTCGTGTTTTTACGTGCTGATGTGTTGGACGAGAATTTTTCCATCGGAATTATCCCGACTTCACACAGTGTAATCCCGTTTTGTCACACTTTAGCTGTAAGTAACTACTGTAGAACAAAAAAAGTACAATTTACAATGCATTTCTACTTTTAAGTGTTTGGTATTGATTTCAGAACAAACGCTTTCCAGACAAGATGATCTCGAATCACATAAGTCAACAAAACTGAAAGAGATGGGGTTCAAACAAGAAAAAATCCAAGAAGCTGTTATTAAGGTGTCCAGAGGAGCAGGTAAATTAAAATACTTGTATACATTTACATTGTAAGCAAGATCCCAGTTTCCAATTTTATTTAAGACAAAGACCATTGTGACCGGTGAATATTCGATTGTTTCATCAAGACGATGAAATGTTTTACTCTGTCTCTTCACTTGAACACAGGTCATGTATCCACATATTGATATTTGTTATCAAACCAGTTGTAAAATAATGCTCTGATAAACAATTTCTATATATATATTAAGTACACAAACAACAATTAACTTCGTTAGGTAATTACTCATGGGAAGACATTTTGGAGCAGCTGCTAAACGAAGAAACAACTGAACCTGAATCATTACCAACAATGTTCCCAAAACGAGATAAAATTCCAACTGATTCAGCTACTGGGCATGACCGCATTGCATCTGTCGATCTCTCAGGTATTATATTCATTGATAGTCTCCTACCAGCTCTAGAAGTGTTCTACTTTTCACTGGTAGAGAGTATACTTAAAATTTATCTTTCCGTAATACAGGCATTGCAAAAAAGTAAATTGATAACCGCATTAGAATTTGGAAAATTTAAAAGTGTTGAAGCCATGTTTTTCCGTAATTCGATATTTCAGTCTATTTCGGTGATAGTATAATACTAATTACTAATAAGAAAAGCCTACATTGGCCGGCCCATTATTTATGTGCGATTAAAATCGTTTAAAAGAGGGACTGACCTGCGCATATGGTGTTCACATAATGCTATATGTCAGCGGTTTTCCTTTCTATATTATCAAGGTCCTTCGATATGGATTTTTTTTACTAATTTTGTTTTTATTTCAACAATTGCGTTTGCTAAAATTTGTATAGAATGATATATTATGTTAAATTTCCCTGTCAATCAAGGATATCGTTAAGATACGGTGTTTACCTGATACACTATTGTTCACGTATAACATATATTGTCAGTTAAAGTAACATTTTGAAGTCACATGTATCACGTGACCGATTACCTCTTTCAAGTTCAAGTAGCGAGTATTTTCGTCTAACTTAAACTGGTATCTGTATATATTTTGGCAGTTCCAAATCGGTAGCAGAGCTACTTGGTTAAGGATGTAGCAGAATTTTAACAAAAACCTAAATCGTCACGCAAACTCTAAGGGTTCATTTAACTTTAATTTAGAGCTTTGGTTGGAAGGACGTCAATATCGATTAGAGAGATAAGGAAGATGTCCATTCTTAAAACATAATGATAAAGATTTAAATATAACGCCTAGGCATCTTATCCCTGCACAGTAACATGATAGTAACGGTATGACGTCAGACTCAAACTTGTTAAACCCAGGTATCTGCTGTTGCGCATCATTTCTTTATTCTGGATTCGGAGTAAGAAGGAACATGTTGTGTATAAATGTATGTCATAAGAACCAATTATGTAGGATTCAGTGGAATCATCCGATCATCACTGCATATTCATCCATGCATCACTGCATATTCATCATTGACATAGGCCCTCAGTAGAACTGTTAAACCTTATTTGCTTTGATAGGGAATTTTCAAGAGCTAAAACAGAGCCCGTTTGCACATTTCCCTCTTCTTATCTCTTTATATTCTTTTTCTCATTTTCATTTTTCCCATTTAAAATCCGTCAGTCCCATGGATTAAATAATAGACAAGAGTACTGAAATAAAATCTATACTTAACACAATAACAAAGATGAGTGATAACAAAAATTTATTTTCTTTGTATGAAGCAGGACTGTGATGTCGAACTATTTCTCAAATATTTTTACCATATTTCATGTTACCAAACTTTCACGAATATTACCTTATGATTTCAGATGAAAGTAATCATTTAAGAAGACTTGAACGATTGATGTGCAAGATTTGTTTGACAGAAGAGGTGAGAGTTACTTTCCTTCCATGTGGTCATCTCATATGTTGTATGGAATGTTCAAAAATGGTATCCAGGTGTCCGATATGCCGTGAACGGATCGAAACTAGAATCAAATGTTATATTTCATGAGGAATACAAACATCCCATTCATTATAATATGAAATATGAATTACACTAATAATGTTATTTCCAATGCGTTTCATACCAGTGTGTACCATTAAACAATCGACGATACAATGTGAAAAAGAAAACTAAAGTGCTCAAAGTTATGTGAAATGTTTTCAGATATACCTCTTTACATAACCACGTGACCTAAATGATGCAAATCCGAAAAAGAACAGGAAATCAAAACACCATAATAAGTTGGTCATCATGATGAAATCATCATTATCATCATCATTATCATTATCATTATCATTATCATCATCATTATCATCATCATTATCATTATCATTATCATTATCATCATCATTATCATCATCATTATCATCAAAGCAAAATAGAATATACATGAGTTTTAAATATATATATTAAGAGTATCATAGCCATCAGGCAGACTGATATTGGAATTTGTTCTACTCGGTTTTGAAACACTGAGTCCTGCAATTTTTTTTCTCACAAATATGTGTTGCTGTTCCGATGTCGCAGTATTTCGTGAGTTACTAACCGCACAATGTCTGCAAACATCTATATCGATGTCTAAAAGGGGTATCTAAATATTAAGGTAGCTAATAGATTACTCTGACAATGCGGTTGATTCTTTATCAACGAACATACCTTTTACAAAGGTGAAAAGAGTTCGCGGATATGAAAAGTTCATCCTTGGTCATACATCTGTTCGACCTAATAACGACCAGTGATGACTTACCTTTGGGCGAACGTAATGAATAACAAAAGCTTTTCTCATGACTTGTGTAAACTCAGTTTTTGTTACTAATAACTAATAAAACAATATCTTTTCTAAATACATGTGACATGCTCGCTGTCATTCTGATGATGTATAACAAACATATACATTGTTCTCATTTGCGATCGTGACATTACTTACTTGAAAATACCAAGGTTTATCAGGCGATTGTTGTCGACGAAGTGGAAGACGCTTACTCTTCCGCAACACTTGGTCTTATTCTCCTTTTACTTTTTCAGGGGTGGCCATTTGTTCTGTTAATATTTTGGAGTATTTTATAGAGATTGAATGTGGATATGATTATGTTGACATGTTGGTATTTACAACATACTAATACAACCCTATATGTACTGTACCTATGTGAGGCACTGAGAGTTGTGTAATGCTATTACAGTAATATATTTGGTACTATTACTATTGGCTTTTATTCAAATGCAGTGTGGTGTGGATCTTTTTCAGGTGTGTAGATAATTTAACGCACGTCGTCCGCGTCTTGGTTTTTTTTTTTTTTTTTTTAAATATGATGTTCCTTATTTTGTTTTGTTTGATAATTACAAGCAAAACAAAACAAAACAACTTTCAAGCATCATACCGTTATACAATTAACCAGAGTTATTCCTGACTATAAATATGTATTCACTAACCAATAGCTATAATTGTATAAGCTTGCTATTAATTGTTGAATCCAACTAGGAAAAATATGACATCCATAAAGACGTTTATAGGGGCAGTCATTTATTCTTTCTTTTTTTAAATATTTATATATCCCATCCACTTTCAGAAATCATTTCATGCAGATCACCGTTATCTCGTGAACAATGTATGAACTTCAGGATCACACAATATATGTTGAGAAAACCGTTCACACAGTAGAACGGAGCACCAAAAAAATTGATAGGAGTCTATCACACATATAGCATTGTAAGGTCTATATGAACCATTTTCTTTTTTTTTCTATTTCATTTGCTGGACTCCTTTAAACGCACCATGTGATGATGGTGTTTGTTGAGTTTATTTACTGAAGGTATCGTTCCGTCGTGGATTAAGGATACTACCTCGAAATACTTTGGAGCAGAAAACATGTGCGATTCCAAATAATAGAGACTTGTTTTAGATTTTCGAGATACACGTGTGGACCCTATATTACAATGTACATTTTTATGTCAAAATCAAGTTATTTTATATTTCTGATGCAGTAGTTGATTTAATCTTAATATCGAATTACCATACTTACAATTTTGAACTGCAGTTGTTGTAATGTTATGTAAGACATCTCAAACCGATTGAGTGACAATTGAGTATCCCCTGTATGTTGTTCCGAGAGGTAGCAACCGGCTACTCCAACAAGACTGCTTCGAAACGACTTTGGTTGTTGCCGTGTTGAAAAAAGTTTCAATTTGTAGGTACAATTCTAAAATGTTGATGGTAAATGGATTATCTCCATTAAAGCTTGCCAAGATAGGATGGTATCGCATTACCTGTATTTAACGTATATTTTATTAAGCAGGTCCATTAATACGAATGAAAAGAGCGCATGTCTTATACCACATGCATCACAGTTGTGTACAGTCATTATGATCGCTGTCTTTGGTCAATTTTATTGCGTTATTTATATATATATATGTATTAGGTTCTTTTTAAAGATTGATATAAATATCACTGTGTTATTAAATGGGTTGGATTTAGAAAAATGTTTTATCGATTTTACTTCACTCGTGTGTTTGTTTTAAATGCCACCGACCATAAAGCTGCATGTCACAGAACTACCTTGTTGTTAGCGTGATATCAGCCTATATTTAGTACGTTTGTAATGAAACGTGTTTTTTGATCTAGTGGATATTTTATTAACTGAAGATTCCCATTGTTTCCGTTGTGTTGTGTTCATGGGGTCATATTTATTGTGACGTGAACGAAGGGTGAGAAAAATATAAAAAGATACAGGTAGAAATATTGTAAATAATGTTGGAATTATAAATGTCTCAATTTCTAATCTTTTCATTGGGGTATTTTATTTACCTTGTACAATCCAGTACAAATATGTCGTTTGTTTATCCATGAATAATGTGTTGTTGATAGAATCATACATGGGTCTGTTCCATCATAAGGGACATCTCAACTGAGTTCTAACAACACAATCTTTTACACTCGTATACTTTTTGCTTCTTTTTTTCTTACATATCTAAGAAATTTACAAATTGAAAGTTGTTATGAAATCTTTTCATCGTGCCATCACCTAACATCCCGTGAAAGGTATGTCGAAACTACTACTGACTTCATCGATTTGCGACATGGTTACACAACATAAAATTATGACGTTATCGATTCGGTATATGCTTACGCTACATAAAATGATGACGTTATGGATTTGGTATATGCTTACGCTACATAAAATGATGACGTTATGGATTTGGTATATGCATACGCTACGTAAAATGATGACGTTATCGATTTGCGACCGGCATGGTTACCCTATATGAAATAACAACGCTACCATGTCGTGAGCGCATGCTACCTGTCATAACATGTGGATTGACCGAGAATTCACATTATAGGGTGTACAAAAAAATATTAAACAGATAAAACGGGTGAAATATCTATCAATGACGAGATAACATAACTATCATTCGGTGTGTAGTAGGAACGATCTACATATACTAGAGATATATGTAGTGTCTGAATCATGCAGAGTTAGAAGGATGTATATCCTGTGCATATTACATTCAATGAGAGTGTAGTGGTACATTATAATGTATATGAAATAATTCTGAGTCAAGTGCATGTAAAGTATACTTTGATATTCATTGTATATGATATATTGTGTATATAACATATGGGTCAGTTGAACGCCTTCTCTGTACACTTTGTAGCCATGAGTCCTGTATAATGTTTAGTGCACATATATCTATTAATAACTACATTGCATGAGATATATCTATATATTTTGTTTGTGTAACAATAACTAAATCCTTAAAACATCATATGAACGTTATGCCTTTTGAAGTGGGCACCCTTCCCAGGTTAATTAAGTTTGACAATTATATATCATTCGCTTCACATTTCAGAAACATTTAAGTAATGAAACATCGGTAAGACTATTTGAGTTTAAGTGTTGAGAGACAGGTAGATGAAAGACATTGCTGAGATACAGGTAGATGAAGGACATTGTTGAGATACAGGTAGATGAAGGACAGTGTTGAGATACAGGTAGATGAAGGACATTGTTGAGATACAGGGAGATGAAGGACATTGTTGAGATACAGGTAGATGAAGGACATTGTTGAGATACAGGTAGATGAAGGACAGTGTTGAGATACAGGGAGATGAAGGACTGGCCTTCTCATTGGCTTATTTTTCAAATCGCTATTTTAAAAGCATCCAAAATTAGTTTATTTTTTAAATAACAATACGATTACAATATATTTCAAAAAAGAAGCACAGTGTGGTTGAACTATTGATAAATTTTGAACAATATATTTTACGGAATTCTCGACATGACGTAAGCGTACAGAACACTGTACGTGCGAGTTGGCGCTATGATAAGAAGCTAGTCTGGGGGCTTGGTTTGAATTATCAACTAACAGCACTCATAAACAAACAAAACTTACAAACAGAACATCAATTTTGCTTTAATCCTTGTCGTTGTGGCAAGATCGTCTTAATATATAACATCGCTTTACCTCAATAGACTTCACAAAATTGGACTGTTCGTCCTACGCGCACACTTGCCGATATGACACTTTTATTAGGATTTTCACATCCACCGCCATGACACTTTTTCAAGTTTTTGAAGATAAAAAGTTTGCGCTTCGTAGGCAAGGTACATTTGGTGCTCATGATTTATGAATGATATATTTTTAATACTGTACTGATCATGATGTTGACTTTGTTATAACCTATATTTTTGTCTTTTAGTTTTATTTGATGAAGGTTGATTGTGCTGATTTCTCAATGTTTGTTAATGTGTATCAAAGTTCCTTGAAATGAAAATATTCCTTTAAACAAAGCGCGTATAAAAAAACCCCAAAATATTCATGTTTATAATTATCAATTAACTAAAACAAAATATTTCCATAACATATTTATTCATTTAGCGTGTCATGGTGACATTACCTAATGCATTGGAGATCAGAAATAATAGTAGCTATAGTGAAAATATTGTAAATTTTGTATATATATTGAAGTCTGGTTTAATCTCATAAAACTATGCCTTTATAGACGTAAT